GCGCCCTCACGTCTACGTCACGATGTGGGAAGATTTGCATAACACCGTCCAAATGTTCACGCAAAGAAGGCATAACTTTGATTCTCGCTGTAGTATTGTTGCTGCGGCTGCCGCTGCTGCTGCCGCTGCCGCCGCCGCCGCCGCCGCCATGTTGTGGAGATGCTGTGTGTTTCATTGTGAAAGCGAAACTACTTTGTTTGGTCTTCCAAAAGAGGACGATATCCGCTTCGTCATGCCTGGAGCTGATCCGTGCTGGTCGCTGAGGAAATACATCAACTTCGCGCTGTGGATCGCCGGATCGGCTTTCACCGTGGACAAAGCGGAGTCCAGCCCGGGGTCGTCACATGTGTTTGTCGCAAGCCTGCCGGACGCTCCTTCGTCGAATCCGCCGGCCGCGCCGTTCTCAAGCCCACCAGCCGCCACTCACTCAGCCCGCCGGTGTTGTGCCGAAATTGGTGACCTAGCGAAAACTGTGACCAGGGGTCGCTGTTCAGCAAATGTTCGCGCAGGAGATTAGACGCTAAACCGGAATGATCAGATGTTCCATGTCTTAATACTACAGAAAACACCCATTGAACAAACTAGATATTGTCACGAGCATCTAAATGCTTATATAGAAAAGAAATGAAACATTAATGCTGCTGCTTTCTGCTAATATTTTAGGCTACCACTAAGAATTGATTCCTTATGAGATGTTTAGCGCTTATTGTGTAACATATTCTGATTATCTGATAAATGTAGGTCTTTATTCTTATTACTGTTTACTTTAATTACCCAGTAATGTTGGAGATCCCACAGTTTGCTCCTTACAAATGCATATGATGCAGTCACTTGAATCTGACAAGTAAAAAATCATAGCTATCGAAATGTTACCACACTTTACTTCATAATAACTGACTATACATTTTTAATAAAGTGTGATGTGTGAGATTCTCTTCTTTCTGTTATATATAAATAAAGCATACTGATCAGATATTAATATTTATAGATACAATAGGGTCTGACAGGTTAAATTTTAAGCTATTGAAATGTGTTACCCCTCTTTATTTCACGCAGGTGACTAATGCTTAATAAAGTAACTTGTGATGTTTCAGCTCCTCTTTATCGCTTATTGTGTAACATATTCTGATTATCTGATAAATGTAGGTCTTTATTCTTATTACTGTTTACAGTAATTACCCAGTAATGTTGGAGATCCCACAGTTTGCTCCTTACAAATGCATGAGCTGGCTAGGGTCACTGAGTCTGACAAGTAAAATTATCATAGCTAGAAATGTTGCCACTCTTAATTTTATAATAACTGACTATAAATGTTTAATAAAGTGGCTCATGTGATGTGTGAGCTCCTCTTTCTATTTTATAAAGCATATTTATCAGATAGTATGGTATGATAGGTCAAAATTATAGCTACCAAAATGTTACCTCTCTTTAAGTCTATGTTCTTCAAACTCATTCAAGTGATGTATTGCTCCTTTTTCCTATAGGTTTATTCTTGTTGTCTTTTGAGTAACAGTCACCAATTATTAGACATTACCATTACTGAAAAAAAAGCTCACTAAGCTAATTTCTGTGATTTTTTATTTTAGGTTATCATTCTAAACATTTGTTTCTTGTTGCACATCCAACACTGCTGAAATTATCCAGTTAAAAAAAAAAAAAAGTTGCTTAGAATTTTAAGTAGCCTATACAATCAACTTAGCTGTATGTCATTTCAACTTTAATTACATTAAACTGACTTAAAAACATGAGTGTTGTGATGTTTCTTAACACACCTCTGTCTAGATAAGGACAAGACATTTTGAGTTATTCCTCCTAACACAGAAAGTTTGTTGAAATATTTTACGCACTACTGTGTTATAGTTACACAATTTGTGTCAAGTATGTGTTATTTTTGATCAAACATTGTATGCAATAAAAACACAGCAAACTCACATATAGTTTATTGAAGTGAGGAAACTTTCTCTTGAGCAGAGTAACGGCTCATGAATTGATGCAAGCAGCAATGTGATTGGCTGATAAATAACATTGTGTTGCATTTTTTTCTTTTTAATACATTTAACACAAAACAACACAAAAAAATTATTAAAAATTAACATCCTTTTTTAAGAGTGCATGGTTTATTGATCAAACCATATTTTTATTTTACATTTATGTTTGCATATTGCTAAGAATTTGTATAAAAAATGAATATTATATTTTACTGAGATTCTCTCATGAGGTTTTACTGCCTTCTAAGAGTATTCCTAGAATAGAAAAGTTGAGTAGTTGAATAGTTAGAGATGAGTTATGATTGCGGTAGGGGTCAAATGTTTTTATATAATCTGAAAAACAAAGTAGGATAAAATGTGTATGAATAAATAACCTAAATAAGACTTTTATGTAACTGTAAATAACTTATAGTGGTGTCATATCTGCTCACAGATCAACCTTTTACAAAACAAATACAGGAATGCATGGGCTATAATTGTATACATGGCTGTCCCTTAAACATTACTTTTTTTTTACAACACGGGTTTACAACACTATTTCACAATCAAATGCTACTTTAATCTTGACAAACTACATACAATTTGAGAGGTCTACGTTTTTCAGCATTACTGCACTTTAAAAAAATATATATATTGGGGTGGAGGGGGTGAACATTAACATGATAAATGCATGTTAGTCAAAGGAATTCCTTCTCAATCTGCATTTTTTTTTACATTGAATCTGCACAAGAAAATCAGGGGAAAAAACCTGTAAGCCTCAAAATAGGCATATAAATGTTGCAATTTAATTCTGCTCTTTCTCTTGATGCCACATAATACCTTCACGTATTAACATATTATTTTTAATTAAGTGCAGTTTCTGATATGAATAACAAAAAGCTCATATAAAAACAGGCTTACTGTATGGCTCTTATTGCTTTTTGGAAATGATTAAGCCAATTAATTGTAGGTACATGTCAAACAACTTTTGTGTAAAAGGGAAAAAATAGAAGAGGAGCTGAAACATCACAAGTTACTTTATTAAGCATTAGTCACCTGCATGAAATAAAGAGGGGTAACACATTTCAATAGCTTAAAATTTAACCTGTCAGACCCTATTGTATCTATAAATATTAATATCTGATCAGTATGCTTTATTTATATATAACAGAAAGAAGAGAATCTCACACATCACACTTTATTAAACATTTATAGTCAGTTATTATGAAATAAAGTGTGGTAACATTTCGTCAGATTTAGTGACTGCATCATATGCATTTGTAAGGAGCAAACTGTGGGATCTCCAACATTACTGGGTAATTAAAGTAAACAGTAATAAGAATAAAGACCTACATTTATCAGATAATCAGAATATGTTACACAATAAGCGCTAAACATCTCATAAGGAAACAATTCTTAGTGGTAGCCTAAAATATTAGCAGAAAGCAGCAGCATTAATGTTTCATTTCTTTTCTATATAAGCATTTAGATGCTCGTGACAAAATCTAGTTTGTTCAATGGGTGTTTTCTGTAGTATTAAGACATGGAACATCTTTTACAGCACCGCTCAGCTCCTCTGAGGTTGATCATTCTGGTTTAGCGTCTAATCTAACGTGCGTGCTCCCGCGCGAACATTTGCTGAACAGTGACCCCTGGTCACAGTTTTCGCAGGGTCACCGATTTCGGCACAACACCGGCCGTTCCTCACTCTAGCCTGCCGTGTGTGACGCTGTGTGCATAACATTTCCGTCACACGCTTGAGGTATTCAGCCAATCACAATGCACTGGATAGCTGGTCAATCAGAGCACACATCGCTTTTCAGAACGATGAGCTTTGTAAAAATCGATGCGTTTCAGAAAGGTGGGGCATAGAGGAGCAACAATAATGCACATTATGTGGAAAATAATGTGTTTTTTGAACCTTAATGAAATAAATTGAAATGAAATGAAAATGAGACTAATCGGACCAATCACCGCAGATTAGCATCATGCAAAGGAGGGGTTTGGAAAAATGAATCGTTAAACGAATTGTTTGGGAGTCGTTGAGCAAATAAGGTAAAAATAAATGCATATCATAAGAGAATTAAAGTGTTTTTTGACCTTGCATGCATGTCAACCTGTTGCTGGGGACTCCCAAAACCAAAATATGAACCTTTCATTACCCATAATAGGGGCACTTTAAAGGAGACCTATGCACCTTTTTACAATATGTAATATAAGTCTCAGGTGTCCCCAGAATGTGTCTTTGAAGTTTCAGCTCAAAATACGCCACAGATCATTTATTATATCATTTTGAAAATGCCTATTTTGAGTGGAAGCAGAAACACGCTGTTTTCTAGCATGTCTCTTTAAATGCAAATGAGCTGCTGCTCCCCTCCCCCTTTTCCAGAATAGGGCTGTGCCTTTACAGCTCATACCTCGGATACTCTGATAAAAAAACATATGTTTGGTTTTGAACCATATCAGTTTAAACTTCTTATATACGGGTTTCAGAGCACACACATCCGAAGCATGCTCAAAGAAAGCGGCTGTCACATGACATGTGAGTACTAAACTAAATTTCTCTTTCATGTTTTATTGCACTTAAGCAGTCAAATACACACAAGTTCTCTTAAAAACACACACGAGTTACAAAAACAGTTGGTTATGTCTGTGAAGGTAAACAGTTGGGAAAGAAATGGCATGTTTATATTAAATCTGTGTGGCAGAAGCGTAATATACAATAAATAAATCAATAAATCCATTGCTCTCTTGTCTCGTCTGAGGCTGGGACTCTAAATAGTGTTCTGTGCTCTTCAGTGCAGCCAAAGACAGAACAATTAGCATGCTTTGCTTGAACTTATGCTATGGCATTAGATCTGACACCATTGTCGCTTGCAAAAACACAATGGCAGTGCTGTGGGTGGAAACGTGCAGATTAAGGGGCAGTAATATTATAATAACATCCCCTTTCTACATTATGGGGGGAGCGAAATCTGAGAGGCTTGTTTTTTCACAAGCTTGCAGAGAAAGGCTTATCAAAAAAATGTACTGGGTTGTTGTTTTTTTCACGTTTTCAGGGTTGGGAGATGCACCGGGGACCCGATTATAGCACTTAAACATGGAAAAAGTCAGATTTTCATGATATGTCGCCTTAAAAATTTCTATGGAATAACCAGGTATGTGTATTAAGAAGGTATGTTATGTTGACTTAAAAAAAAAAAACATATTCAGCAGAAGTGAAAAGATAAAATGGTGCACTCACCTTTCATACCAAACTTGGAGCTTCTGCCATACTTGAGGAAAACTAACATCAGGATACATCCGGTTAAAGCAACCCCAGCTATTCCAACCACTATATAAACCTAGAATATATAAAGGTACAGTAGATTTTACTGAAGCAAGCACATCTGCGGTGGGTTTAAATTGATTGTATCAAAGAAAGTCATTTACAAATTGAAATTTCTTGCTTTAATGATATTGTCACAAATGTAAATTGTCCAATAATAAATCAAACAATAAACAGAATATCCTTAGTGAATATATGTTAAGCTCTGTCAACAGCATCTGCAGCCTGCTGTCAATTACTACAGAAATTAAATGTGTCTAGTCTCTCAGTTTAACTTAACGGAGATCAGGGACGCTGAGAAAATGGCCTTCCTGGACTCCCCCGTCTCTCCCAAGAGACTCTTTGGCACGGCTGTGGACGGTATCACAGAGCGCTTCACTGAGGCACAAAAGACGTTGCAGGTGCTGCGTCATTTCCTGCCTAAGCTCCCCAGTTCGGCAACTGTTTCAAGTCGCCCCAAGACTGCATCCACTCAACAGTTTGCGAAGCCAGCGCCGCCACAGCCTCTGCAAAAACAGGAGCCTGGGCTTCACCAGCATCACCGAGCGGCTAGGAAGTATCCCTTCCCGAAGCGTCAAGGTCCCCGCCCACTCGTAGTGCTGGACACAAAGCCTCAAAAGCCATCCTGATCCAGCAGACAGGAAGAGGAGAGGGCTCGTTCTCGCAGAAGCCAGAACCCCCTCAAAGAAAGCTCGCATTTACTCCCCGTCTCTTCGAACATCTCTGAGTAGCGGAGGTTTTCTAACAGGGCACGTCCTGCAAAACCAGCATGTGCCCCATCAAATTACCGCTGTGATAGCGGACCCACATACTTTAAAGTGCAAAATTCCTCTCCCTGCACTCACACATGCCAGCTCCCCGCCTTCACACGGCGAGCTGTCATTCATAAAAATGGAACCTCTTGCCACCCGCCTGATGGCTTGGAAAGCCATTCCCGGCGTGTCAACATGGATCCTAAAACGATAGAACAAGGATACTCGCTTCAGTTTGATCGCAGGCCTCCTCGTTTCAGAGGTGTCATTCAAACTTCGGTATCGAACAACGATTCTCATGTTCTTCGGTCCTAAGTAAACACATTGCTTGCAAAAGGTGCCATAAAACAGGTACCCATTCGCGAGCGATGCCTACACATCAACTGCCTCGAAATGATGGCTGTTTGTCTGGCCCTAAAGTCCTTCCTGCCAGCCTTAAAGGGGCACCACGTCTTGGTCCAGTCAGACAACATGACTGTGGTAGCTTATATCAATTGCCAAGGCGGCCTCAGGTCACGTCCCCTGTACAGGATGACTTGACGTCTCCTACTATGGGCACAGAGCAAACTCCTCTCACTACGAGCGGTTTACGTGCCGGGCAGACTGAACCAGGGAGCGGACATGCTGTCCAGGGACAATGTAGCTCCAGGAGAGTGGAGACTACATCTTCAGTCGGTTCAGATGATCTGGTCCGTTTTCGGCAAGGCAGAGGTGGACCTCTTCGCCTCCGAAGACAACTGTCACTGCCCAATCTATTTCTCAACACAACGGGATGCTCTGGCCCACGACTGGCCCAACACCCGTCTGTATGCTTTCCCTCCGATCTCTCTGCTCCCTCGGGTCATCAGGCGAGTCAGGGAAACAAGATGTGCTCTCCTCTTGGTGGCCCCACTCTGGAGGAACCAACCTTGGTTTCTGGAAATGGTCCAGCTGTCATCAGCAGCCCCATGGCCGATACCACTGAGGAAAGACCTTCTCTCGCAAGCACAGGGCAGGATTTGGGATCCCCAGCCAGAGCTGTGGAACCTTCATGTCTGGTCCCTCGACGGGAGGCTAACCAGCTCCCCGCGAGAGTGTCAAACAGCATCTTAGAAGCAAGAGCTCCGTCTACAAGACGTCTCTACGCTCTCAAGTGGTCAGTCTTTTGTGACTGGTGTTCAGCACGAGATCAGGACCGGAACTCATGTGACGTGTCCCACGTGCTAACCTTTCTGCAAGAGCTGTTGGACAAGGGGCGCACCTAGGGCTGTGAATCTTTGGGTAGATAGCGAATCGATTCGATTCACGATTCATAGGTTTTCGATTCGATTCAAGAACGATTTTTGCAAATTAAGAATGATTCAATTCGATTCAATTCACAATAAAAATTCGATTCGATTCGATTAACGATTCGATTCTGCATTCTTTAAGTGCATTCACAGGATTATTTAAATACTTCCCCTAAATTCTTTAAATGCTTAGTAAGGGGGCAAATTACACAGCAGCCTTTATGGTTAGAGAACCATAGCTTACAGAAAAAAAAAACACTTTAACACTAAAACACTTTCGCTATAGAAATCGCGATTCATTCGATTCTTAACGTTTTAAATCGATTACTGTCCGAAATCGGCGATTCACGATTCAAAAATCCATGTTTCAAGATCGATGCATTGCATCGTCAGGGTTTGTAATCGATGCATCGAGAAAACGAGTGAATCGTTACAGCCCTAGGCGCACTCCATCCACACTTAAAGTCTATGTGGCAGCCATCGCAGCAAATCATTCTCTCGTGGCTGGCCAGACTATCGGCAGGAACGACTTGGTCATTAAATTCCTGAGGGGCGCTCGGAGGTTAAATCCTCCTCGTCCCAGGACTGTGCCAACGTGGGATTTGTCTCTAGTCCTAAGGGCCCTCAAGGGCCCTCCCTTTGAGCCGCTCCAATTGGCGGACTTACGGGTCATGACGCTCAAAACTGCTTTGCTTTTGGCCTTAGCATTGGTCAAACGAGTGGGTAACTTGCAAGCACTGTTGGTCAGTGCTTCCTGTCTCGAGTTTGGGCCCAACGACTGTAAAGTCGTTCTTCAGCCGCGTAGCGGTTATGTGCCTAAGGTGCTCTCAACTCCATTCAGAGCCCAGGTGATCTCCCTGCTGGCCCTTCCTGTAGTGGAGGGTCAACAGGGTCAGAACTTATTGTGCCCGATCCGGGCACCCAAAGTTTACATTGAGCGCTCTAAGTCGTTCAAACAGTCTGAGCAGCTCTTTGTGTGCTTTGGAGGCTGCTCTAAAGGGCTGCCGGTCACAAAGCAGAGACTATCTCGCGGGATTGTAGATGTGATCGCCCTGGCTTACGCCTCAGTGGGCTCACAGTGCCCTATAGGAGTGAGAGCCCATTCAACTAGAGGAATGGCCTCCTCCTGGGCGTGGGCCAGCGGGATTTCCATCAGTGAGATTCGTGTGGCCGCTGGTTGGTCGTCGCCGTCCACATTAGTTAGATTTTATAATTTGGACATCCCTGCCTTGCAGGCACGGATCGTATCCATTTAAACTGCTGGTTTCTCCCGGAGGCGGAAACAACTGTGTCAGTATCCCTGGCTAATGCTCGGGACTGAGTTTAGCTCTCATGTTTCAGGGGCCCTTAAATTAGTGATTCTAAACTGGGCTCGTAGAGCAGATCGTTATGTTTCTGCTCATAGCACGGCGTGATTGGGTATCGTTCCCATAACACAACGTGAAGTGAACGTTCGATAGGGAACGCTCCGGTTACTGACGTAACCTCGGTTCCCTGAGCTAAGGGAACGAGAGTTGCGTCACTTGCCATACTATAAGCTGCACGCAAATCGATGGCTGTCGCTTCAGTCGAAGTGATTCTGATGAAATGCTGCATTGAGCCGACTTACATAGAGGTCGGTTCCGCCCTTTCTGGCGGGCTAAAGCGCCATTGGTTAGTTACACAAACGTTAACAAATCAGGCTTCAGTAACAGGGTAAACAGGAGGATAACCCATAACGCAACTCTCGTTCCCTTATCTCAGGGAACCGAGGTTACGTCAGTAATCTGAGCATTTTCTATGGTAATCAACAGCAGTCCACAGATGTATTTAACCTGAAATTTTCCTTTAATCGCACTATGCAAAAACATACCGCGACTTTGTCCTCCAGTGGCGGGGTTTCTTAAAAAAAAAAAGGCAGATTAAACAAATTACACTATTTAAAGGACTGCAGTTCAAAACTATAAAAGCCTGAAGGTTTGAACAAATTCATGTGATACATGAGTGATAAAGGGAGGAACAGACTTACCTGGACTAAATGTTGTGTCTGTGTTACATCATTTAAATGGAAAGAAAAATGGAAATGGATTATGTAGTGATATATAACATTCTATAAACATCACAATATATAAATATATATATTTATGAATTACAAAGAGCAGCTGGGTGAATCTCATGAAAACTGGTCATATTTCACCTCATTATCATAAAAAATTATATTTTGCATAAAGAAAATTAAGTCTCTTTTTAGAACTATAAAGTTTTTTTTTGCATTGTGCAATTATTTTCATAGCAATTAAGCACAAACCCCCTAATGGCAGTAGTCTACTTACAGTTTTTTCACCTGCTTACAGAAACAACTGTGTCAGTATCCCTGGCTAATGCTCGGGACTGAGTTTAGCTCTCATGTTTCAGGGGCCCTTAAATTAGTGATTCTAAACTGGGCTCGTAGAGCAGATCGTTATGTTTCTGCTCATAGCACGGCGTGATTGGGTATCGTTCCCATAACACAACGTGAAGTGAACGTTCGATAGGGAACGCTCCGGTTACTGACGTAACCTCGGTTCCCTGAGCTAAGGGAACGAGAGTTGCGTCACTTGCCATACTATAAGCTGCACGCAAATCGATGGCTGTCGCTTCAGTCGAAGTGATTCTGATGAAATGCTGCATTGAGCCGACTTACATAGAGGTCGGTTCCGCCCTTTCTGGCGGGCTAAAGCGCCATTGGTTAGTTACACAAACGTTAACAAATCAGGCTTCAGTAACAGGGTAAACAGGAGGATAACCCATAACGCAACTCTCGTTCCCTTATCTCAGGGAACCGAGGTTACGTCAGTAATCTGAGCATTTTCTATGGTAATCAACAGCAGTCCACAGATGTATTTAACCTGAAATTTTCCTTTAATCGCACTATGCAAAAACATACCGCGACTTTGTCCTCCAGTGGCGGGGTTTCTTAAAAAAAAAAAGGCAGATTAAACAAATTACACTATTTAAAGGACTGCAGTTCAAAACTATAAAAGCCTGAAGGTTTGAACAAATTCATGTGATACATGAGTGATAAAGGGAGGAACAGACTTACCTGGACTAAATGTTGTGTCTGTGTTACATCATTTAAATGGAAAGAAAAATGGAAATGGATTATGTAGTGATATATAACATTCTATAAACATCACAATATATAAATATATATATTTATGAATTACAAAGAGCAGCTGGGTGAATCTCATGAAAACTGGTCATATTTCACCTCATTATCATAAAAAATTATATTTTGCATAAAGAAAATTAAGTCTCTTTTTAGAACTATAAAGTTTTTTTTTGCATTGTGCAATTATTTTCATAGCAATTAAGCACAAACCCCCTAATGGCAGTAGTCTACTTACAGTTTTTTCACCTGCTTACACACAAAATCTTTACTTGTCACACAATTTCTGAAACCTGACACTCAGACACAACCACACACCAAATCTGCAAAACCATACACTAATTCTTGGCCTTTTGTCTCAGTTTTCAATTTCATAAAACAGTTTTTGCAAAACACAACACACAATTCTGTATGTAACACACAAACATCTAACAGGAATTAATATTATGGCACAGGTGTTTGCAAATGTTTGCTTTTGAGATGTGTTTGTGATATTTTGAATGCAGTGCTTCATTTTGCAAGAGATGTGAGTCATTTTGCATTTTGTGTGTGCAATTCTTGGATTTGTGTGTAAAGTTTTGAAAAAAAGAGGCAAAGTTTTGAAAATGTGTGTAAGCAGTTGAAAAAAACTGTAAAAATTTCTCTAATTAATAGTATAATATCCAATAGTCTTTGTACTAAACATTATTTACAATAATGATTTAAAATAATTAATTGTATCCAAACAGGAAGATTTTCATGAGTTCAGTATGAAATTAAGAATAAGAGGTTTTCACAATATAGTAAATAAAAAAGAAAGAAAGATAGAAAGAAGGAAAAATAAAGAGAAAGAAATATTTATTTGGTGGGGAAAATGTGCTTAATTTTTTTAATAAATAAAAAAATACTGTCACAATGTTAAAAATCTTAAAGGTCCTAAAATGGATTTCTTTGTTTTTTTTCCTTATGAATATAGGGTGAAATTTTAGGGTCAAATTTAATTCAACTAACTTTATTATATTTAAAATTGTACTTGCTTTAATTAACCAAAATATTGTTTTACAAGACAACTCACCATAATAGAACACTCCCTCTGTGGAAACAAAAATATGACAGATGTTTGATTGTACACATTAATAGGCTGTATTATTTATAATAATAAATAAAATAAAACATAAATTTTAGAGTGATGCAGGAAAACCCAAGCCCACCTGTCCCTGAGTGGTCCACATCAGGTATGTGCATGAAGTGAGCCGTCACGTTTCCCCTGTCCTCTCCGAACTCATTGCTAGCCACCAGCGTGTAAATGCCATTATGGATATGAGTGGGAATGTCCAGCTGCAGACAGCCGTGGTACTCCGTATCCGTGATTTCATGGATTTCAGTCCTGATGTACTGCTGCTCCTCCAGCAGCTTCCCCTCGTGGTACCAGTGCAGATCAGGCCTCGGGTTGCCCGTCACAGTGAAAGGGATGCACCAGTCCTGGTTCCTCACGGGCTGGTACAGCTGCACGATAGTAGGGGGAACTGACCCAGGAGAAAGAAGAAGGGGCAGAGGAACGAGAGAGAGAAGGAAAGAGGGGAGGAGGAGAGGAAGTGTAATAACAGGATGTACCAAAGGGGTAAACGAGAGGAACATGGAAAATTTCGCTGTAGTTTGACGAAAGGAAAGTGTCTGACAGGCGTGACAGCACATGGGACAAAGGGGCAGTATAGAGGGATTCTAGGATGAGAAATACAAGAGAATGACAATAAATGAAGAGGCTTACTGTAATATTACAACACAACATGAAGAAAGATGCAATGCATAACCAAAAGCAAATGGTTAAAAGGATTTCACCAAAGTTAACTGATTTGTCGCTGATTGGTGGAAATTAAACATCATGTTAGTGTATCATACAGAAATGTTATGTACATATAAAAAAGAGACTGTTTTGTTAGAGGAATAGATTGCTGCTTATTGTTCAAAGCCATATGATTTTCCAGCAGAATTTCCAAGCTGCTCCTCATGACGCATTGAGTCATGTTTGATGTCACTGAAGTCAAAAGTCACTGTTTCTCACATTGATTCTCACGGCCGTTTGCCATGTGCCAAGTTTGAATTTGTGCAAGCATGAATCATACAGCTTCAAGGCCTTTAAGATATTTTATGAAGCATGTCAGCCTGTTTACTGTCAAAAGTTCAAAAGAACCATTTATTTGAAATAGGCCTAGATTTTTTTGTAACAATGTAAAAGTCTTTACTACCACTTTTTAATGAGCACAGTTTATTGCATCCTTGCAAACTGAAAGTGCTGTATATTAATTGATGAAAAAAAAAATCTTACTGAATCCAAACATTTGAATGGTATTGTATTTTGTTGTACAAAAAAAGAGCAGTTTGGACTTTGCTTTTGTGTTCCAGGGAAGACAGAAAATATGGGTTTGGAATGACATGAGGGTGAGTAAATGATCTTCATTGAATTTACACCAAATCCTCAACTTAAATCTTTACTTTTTCCTTAATGTGTTAACTACTCCTTTAACTACACACATATCAATAAAAAACACACAAAATAAAACGGGTAAATTCTACAAGGCTCAAAGCTTACTATTAAGTAGGAAAGGTTTTTCAAGCAGTGTTATGCAACAATGTGAGTTTTGTCGGGCCCAGTAGACTAATGTGATAGCTTGAGGGGAAACTTCCTGAATCTTAAGCATTTGGCACATTTTCAAATGTATCTTGAACTCTTAAAAACCATCCAATAGTTCAACCTACCATTCTCCTAAAGGAAGCCATCTAATCTCTAAGCATTCATGTCAAATGACCCACAGCCTCCTATTCAGTTTGAAATCTTATTATTTTGTCAAAATATACTTGGTAGACATCAAGCTTACAAATCAAAGAAAAATGATGGTAATATTAATCACTTACAAAGTTTCTGATGTGACAGCTCAATGACATGAATCGTTATTTCAAATTCTAGGAAGTCAATTACACCTTTGATGAACAGACGCATTCCGCCACTGAAATAATACTTCATGGGGAAATTATTGGAGGTTCAGTGAGTTTTACTTACAGTACCAATCGAAGTTTGGACGCACTCAACTTGAATGAATCAACTTTCCATGCCTACATATCAATTCCTCTTCAAAACTATATATTTTTATTTTTTATTTTTTTTTTTTTTTAAATAGATGTATTGGAACAGATTGTGAAAGAAAGACAGGCAACAAGTGTCCAGCATACATGTGGATGCCTTCAATACAGTTTAAAATTAGGATGCGCCTCATGATTTTGGTTGAGGGAAGCCCAGAGTGTGCAGAGCTGTAAACAGTACCCCTGTAAAGGGCAAAGGGTGGCAAGATTTAACATTTTTCACTACATAATTCCAATGCCACCGCATGTATTATTTTTTTTTAGTTTTGATGACTTCACTATTATTCTAAAATGTGGAACAAAGTCATAATTAGGTCTGATGAAAACCTACATTCAACAATAATATTTTTTATTGCAGTATTGTGACTTTTCAATTTATTTGTAATTGTTCGTGCACATGAGAGCAGAGTTCTATATTTTCATGATAATGTTGGTAAATGCAAACCAGATTTGTTAAATTCAGTAACCTAACAATAGCATTATCCTATGCATGGGAACATAACATGTTCTAGACTTCTAATACATGGTCATTTGCTGTGTTGGGACAGCTTACCAAGTAACCTGTTACACTATTGCATAACTCATAAAAAAAGTATCTAATTATGTTACATTATTACTTTTTTTATGGAACTAATGAAGAAACTGGCTGACTTTTAAGTGTTTATCTGAACATGTATCATGGTCCTAAGGGACTACACACTTTGGGTACCTCTCACTTTCATTGCAAAGAAAATCTCTGGACTTTTATAAGTTGATAAACTGCGATACATGAAATAAAGGAATCCTCTATTTTAGTAGTTTTTAGATGTTTCACCTTGCATAGTCATCATTCATTGTATTTAAAGATGAGGATGTCACACTACTTCTCCATGTTGGAATCTGCCAAATTTGGATTGCTTCTCTCAAGTGACAGATAGATTTGCACTAAAATACATTAAGATTCATTGGATACACAGCCTTTAATGCCCTACTGATTTTGTGGGGTGGGTTGTACGATCAGTGGTGGACAATAACAAAGAATTTTACTCTTAGTACGTATGTCATTTTTTTTTTTATCAGAGTTTTACTTTACTGCATTCTATAGCATAATGTCTTGACTTTTTACTCCACTTAAAGGGTTAGTTCACCCCAAAATTAAAATTAGGCCATAAATTACTCACCCTCAAGGCATCCTAGGTGTATATGACTTTCTTCTTTCAGACGAATCCAGTCGGAGGTATATTAAAAATTGTCTTTGATCTTTCAAGCTGTTTAATGGCACTCAGTGGGTGTTGCAGTGCTTCAGTCCAAAAGAAGAGAAATAAAAAGAGCCACTCCATTAAAAAAAAAGTGTCTCACACGGCTCCGGGGGGTGAACAAAGGCCTCCTGTAGCGAATCGAAGCGTTTTTGTAAGAAAAATAACCATATTTAAAACGTAATAATCAATTTAATCTAGCTTGCGCTCACTGTTGTAAACGGAAGCAGTTCCGGGCGGATGACGTATAAGTTCGGCGTTGCGCCACTCAGAAGTGACGAACGCGGAAGCGCGGGGGAGAGATCAAAACAAAACAACGGTCACTAATTAGAAGTACAAAACGAGGATTTGTAAAGAAGAATGTTGGAGGATTTCGATATAAGCCAAAATGTGCTAAGGTAAGACTTCTTTCACTGTTATTTTCTTGCATCTCACATACAGACGAAGACACATTTCTGATGCACGTTTAAATACGTCATTAACAACTAGATGTTCAGTTCAGTTCCATACACACTGCGTAGAATTTCTGTAAATGCGGTTGTCACTACCTGTATTTTTCGGGAGTTAATGCGGTTGTAGAATGCGGTTGTCGCTCCCGTATTTTAGTGAATTATGTGTGTACAGAACGCGATTAACGAGTAAAAGGTGAACCGACAACCGAATTTAACTGCAGTGTGTACGTGGCCATAGCCAAAACCACCGCATAGCCGCTCTTTAGTGTAGATGCATGTTGATTTTATCAGACGATGTCGCGTTTATAAATGAGAGTGACTCCTGGTTAACATGTATTAATGGGTCATGTTTAGTAACTATTTAGTGTGGAATTTTCTACAATATTCACTCATCATGACAGTGAAATTTGGCATTCTAAGTCAATCTACTGCAGTATTTCCTCTCTCAGTCAGTAGAAAATGTTGTTAACACCTGGTCATGCATGAAAAAAAAACCCGTCATCATTTTGAAAAATACCGTGATATAAATTTTTGGTCATAACGCGCAGCACTAACCGAGAGTATTATGATCCTCCAGTGTGCTGACTACTAATAATTCATAATAATGTCAGACTGAGCTCTAACCTATTTTAGGTCTATTATATCTGAGTGACTGGGACATTAGACCCCTCTCTCTTAAAATAGGTTTTTTGAGCATGAGGATGAAGCACATTAAATTCCAAAAAAATATATAATGATAATAATATGTAGTTCTTACAGATCAGTTCTCTTACTCAAGACGAAATTCAAAAGGAGTACTTATACATTTATAAGTATGTAAGTATGGAGTAATACTTCATCAGGGTATCTTTAAAACAAGTACAGGAGTACTTATACATTTATAAGTATGTAAGTATGGAGTAATATTTCATCAAAGTATCTTTAAAACAAGTACAGGACTTGTGTACTTCGTCCACCACTGGTCATGACCCACCATTTGAGCTCAAGGCCTTCTGTCACAGAGGACAGGAACAGACCTTAACTTGGGGCTCATTCTGTCAAAGCAATGCAAAGCAAATCCACACAACACAATGTGAGTTCTTACAAAGAATATTGAGAAGGACTGAAGCCTCAGTCTGGCCAACAATGTTCTCGGCACTACAGGTGAGCTCTCTGCCGTTGTCATCAGGTGAAAGTCCACTTAGAGTCAGAATAGACTGCAGCTCCATTTTGTGAGAAATCTGTGAGAAAGAAACCACAACTCTGATCTGATCTGATTATGTTTAAACATATTTTAAACATTTGGCATGCATGCGCTTTGTGGTTGCCAGGGTATTCTGGGTCGTGGTTGCCTGCTGACCAAAGTCAAAAGAGCTCACACACAAGTCTTTCTAATATTCTAGCACACTGAAAAAAAAATGATACTTTGGATCAACTTAACAAAAAATACTCTAATTTGTTACAGCCAAATGTATTATTTTTCTTAAATTGCGGCATTAACTGGAGCTAAATAATCCAAGTTCTCATTCTACACGTCAATGTATTTAATCTGTCATACAGGCTGTTGTTTTCACCATGGGTGAAGGCTCCTTTAATGTAAGTAGTATAGTGAGCATTTTAAATATTAATGGAAACACAAAGCTTTTATGGGCTAGAGTCAAGCATCTGTGGTTTCAGCGCTGTGATCAATCATGATATTTGAAAGCACATTATAGGATGCTACAGAGATTAAGTGTTTAAGTGTCCTGAATGTGTAAAACTGGCACAAGGAGGAGAGAGGTTATAACTGATGTGAGGACGGCAGATATGTATAGGCCTAATAGAATAAATAGGGCTATCATAGTCTGTTAAAACACTGTTTTCCATCTAGTATTCCATCTGTAGTTCCACCTTAGGTTTACTTATGATTTTGTGGAAGATCTACAAGGAATATTAGATCTGATGCTAAAGCTCAAGAGACTTCGCTGTGTTCAGAATGGAATACTATCATAATTGCATTGCACGAGTATGTCCAGTTGTTACATTTGAAATAAGAATGTTAAGTTTTGTGTTTTTTTAATAGACAAAATTGAATTATGGATTTTATATTTTAATTCAATAAAAAAGTATTTTTCAAGATTGATCAAAAGTCAAAATAGAGAAACTAAACATTCTGTCAACAGTCACTCACTGTCATGTCCTTCTAAACCTATAAGACTTTCTTTTATCTTTGAAACACAAAAATATTTTGAATGAATCCTGAGAGATTTCTGTCCCTCATTTGAAAATGCATTTAACCAAAACTTTCATGGTTCAAAAAGTTTATAAAAATATTATAATGAATCAAGCAGTTTAATCCAATACTATTATTGAGCAGTTAATAGTCTTCTGAAGAGACATGATTGCTTTATATTATAAACTTTAAATTTGAGCATTTATTCACACATAAACATACATAGAGAACATCAAACAGGTCTCATGCGGTCTAATGAGAAGGCAACATAGATAAACATTGATCAATGTTTATATGTGAATAAAATGATATATTAAATCTGTTTATCGTATAAAGCGATTTCAGTGTGCCTTTTCAGAAAACTTGGATTAAACCACTTGATTCATATGGATTTCTTTTATTCTTTATTGTATCACTTTATAAACTTCATAGTCATAGTTTTGCTGGACTTTCAATGGAAAGACAGACATTTTTTTAGATTTCATTCAAATATCTTTTGTGCTTTTCGAAAATGAATATTGTATAAAAGGTTTAGTAAACTGCATTGTTGTGGGATACAATATTCCATACTTATTTTTTATAATACTGTATATCTCAGCAAATGTAGCAGGTCAACCACATATTCTACATATCTAATAATATTCTATTCAACTTGCATTCTGTCTACAGAAAGAGTAAGAGCACTATAGTAGTATGCTATTCCGAACTAGCTTTATACTTAAAAGGCAAACATGGTGTTACCTCATAGCTGGTTGAGAGAGGAGGGTGATCACTGGAGTTTAAGCTCCAGGAGAGCTCAGGGGTCGGGGCTCCTGACACACTACACATCACTGTGGCATCACTTCCTGCCATTTGACTGACAACAGCAGGGATGACCTCGACACGTGGATACTCTGAAATAATGACAGAGTTTTCATGTTTGTGAGGATGATTTTTTAAATATTTCTTACCACAATCTGTGCGACTTAAAACCGCATTGGGTTTCATTACCACATGAAGGAAGAGTGAGTCTAGACAGGGCTTTTGCTTTTCCTCCTTCCTGTAGACACAGCAGCCCATCTCTCTCACTGTCATCCAACCAGACTTTGATCCAGATGTTCTTACATTCACATTGCAAAGGGTTCCCGGAGAGCAACCTAAAGCAAACCCAAACAGACTTCAGGAACAGAAAGATGCTTTCTTTGTATGGTTTACAAACAGAGCACTGTACATACAGTTTAGTACATTTTATTTAATAATAAAAAAAACTCTCACAAAGTCGACAAGTTTGAATTACGAAGTGCCCTCCAAGACAGTGTTGATAAGTTATTGTCTCTGAGATTCCTACAGATAGAGAGTAGAAAAATACTTAACTAATTAAAAATAAAGAATAACATTATAGAACATTTGTTTGAAAACATAACACATGTGCTTAATATTTGCTGCATAATTTCATTAAATTTAATAACATAAAGTATCAAAAAAGACTCACAGATATTGAAGTTTGGAATTGTTGAAGAAGGCCATCATAGATACATATGTCAGGTGAGTATTGGTCACTGTTCTGTGTGAGACAGTATATGCTCACATAAGTTCTGCTGTTCTATAAAGTTTCATTAACAATTGGCATGACCAAAAAAATTCAGATACTCACAAATTCCTGAGATTTGAGTAGAACTTCATATGGTCCTCGTTGATTGAAAGTAGCCTTTTTTGATTTGAGATGTATCTGTGGAATTGAAAGGAATGATTAGGCACATTAGATTCATAAACACAGTAGCATTGTGGTACTGTGATACACTACCATCCACAGTTTGGGGTCAGTGAGATTTTTTGATGTTTTGCTAGAATTCTCATGCTCACCAATTATTTGATCAAATCTGTACAGTAAAAACACTAATGTTGTGAATTGTTATTGCAGTTTAAAATAACATATAGTTTAACATTTGATTTATTTCTGGGAAGGCAAAGCTGGATTTTCAGCTGTAATTATTCCAGTCTTCAGTGTCACGTGATCCTTCAGAAATCATTCTAATACTAAATTGGTGCTCAAGAAGTATTATTATCAATGTTGAAAACAGTTGTGCTGCTTAATCCTTTTGTGGTAATCCTGATTTTTGATGAATAGAAAGTTCAGTGAATAGAAAGTCACAATGTGAGTTTTTATTGTCACTTTTGATCAATTTCTTGCTGAATAAAAAGGAATTGATTACATTGGTTTTAAACTGTATTCTACCTAGTTCAGATAATACTATTACCATGGGACCTTGTCAAAAACAAAACTTGCCCTTACAAAAAAGTAGCATGGTAGCCTATTGAAATTCCTGTATACCGCGGCATTTACACAGCAGTCCGATGTACTACAACGGTTTCTATTTAGAGTTTCAGTAATATTATATGTGAACGTACAATTTAAATAGGCATGCGCCTAACAAATAAAATCAAGCCGAGCTGTTTTCATTCCGCACTGGCATGCGAAAACATAGACCAAAAATTGAATATCACTCAATATCAAATAGACCGTATTTTCAGCGATGGCTAAAACAGACGCCCCGTAATACGAAATTCTTTTATCAACCCGTCACCACATGAATAAGTTAATAAAGGTGCGCGTGAAAAAGCCATGATTTCACTACAGCGCGCACATGCCTGGAGTGGGTCCGCTGAGCCGTTGTCGTGGAAACGGAGTGACATATTCGCGTAGGCGCCGATGCCTATTGCTCTGCGGACACGTTAGACTACTCCCCAACTAACCTATACACAACAATTCGTGTAATAACGTACGCGTAAAACTTACTTTCATTCGTAAATAACAGCAGTTTATTAGGCCTAAAAGCACATTTTTCCCCAAGACCAAGCCATTTGACGGTCTCTCAAGTCGGCTCGTCTTGTCAGCGCAGGCACTCGAGCAGATCAGATCAGCACTGATAAAGCTCTATGAAGCGGACGCTGTATCTTCACCGATATGCATCTAATTGCGTTATGTGGTCACTTTATACAATCTAGTGTAAGGCGATAGCGCTGTCTTTTTTTTCCTGTTCTGGTACAGAAAGGCAGCTAAGGTGAGTCAGCAGCCGCACAAAAATTTCTCTGAGTGACCATCTTTATCAAAAGAAAACCCTTTAGATGTGCTATCTTGCCAACTTATTGCTTATTTACCTTGACCCCCACCCTTTACTCATCCTCTCTTCACACACACGCGACACATGATGTCTGTTGCATGCCATGCTATGGTCTTGTTTGATGCCAAGAGCTCATACGCAAGAATGATTGTAGCGAACTCCACAGATGCTCATAACGGAAACGGGCATGTCATGGAATAGCAGGGCACTAAACTTATTTTGGCCCTCGACGAATTGAGGAATCTACCCACACACTCGCATGCTTTTTTTCCACGCATCCGTGATGCTGGAGCAGGTCTCCCGGTCCATTTCTCCGCTAAAACGCTCCACTTACATATCCGTGATGTTTTCCATGTCAGACTCCGGCACCAAGACAGGGAAATCCTCGATCCCTGGTTCTTGATCGATACACGAGATCCTCGAGGCATTGCAAAAGCACGACCCAGGACAAGCCGAGCTGAGCCTCAGCAGCCCGAATAAAATCCCACACAGCCCCAATCGAGCCATTCCACGAACCCCTGCGGTCATGGCAGGTCTAGCGCGGCGCATTCAGCGTTGTGTAATGTCTTGTAGTATTTTCAGCAATTCCGAGATGAGACGCCGCTGCTGTGGGATGCGCAAAGACGTTGTGCGCGACGCGATACTGTCATGGAGTGGCCTTATCTGGTCTCCGTAGAAAGGTGATAACGCAGCGGGGAAATGTTGGCGTGCCAATATGTTGCGCTATCCGGGCTTCGCTTGTTCCAGACGCGGTGGAGAAACGCGTGGCCGCGGGCTGCGTGTGTCTACGGGCTGCGGCGGTGACGCTGACGTCTCACATCCAGCGCTGGGCAAGAAAACAAGCGAGACAGTGTGCGCGCGTGCGTCTGCGCGCGAGTGAAGAGGCAGCAGCGCGTACCTGCTGCAAGCGCCTATTGATTACCCAGCGCATCTCCCTCAGACATCGCTGCTGTAATTACATGTGGAGGGGCACGTTAAAGACGCTCTCGGCGATGCCATATCGGCAATAATTGATCACAATGGGGCGATCTTTGGGAGATTTATGTTGACAGGGATGTCGAATCATTTGGGAAATGACTTGATCATTTTCATTTGTTTTTTTCATCTGTTTAACCATTCAGTCTGAGCTCGCTGTGTTGCTTTTCCATCGTGCTCTTTTCAACAATGCCACAACTTCATGAATAGCCATTACCGGAGTGTGACGTGCTGTTTGACGCACAAGATGGGCTGCATCTTGAAAAATAATTGCGAAACAAAAATGCCTGGACGTTTTTTTACTGTTTATGCCAGTCTCGCATTCCAATCGCCGTGTAGCCTGTGTAAAAGGAGACGAAATGATATTAGTAATAGCCTGATCTATCACTTTAGCGTGTTTACCGAATTATCAGTCTGTTTGAAGGGGTGATGGATTCGGAAAATGCGCCTTTGAATCTCACATTTGACAGCAATGCTTGCATTTCTACGTCCGTGAGAGAGAGAAGTTAGAGCCCAGCTGCGCTAGATTCCACGCGTTATATAAACATTTTGATTTTGTTTTTAGCAAGAGTACACTGAAGGGCCTTGGTTTAGGAAATCACTACAGCGCAAGCCAAAAGATGAAGTGAGATGTGACGAACTGTTATATTTTTACCAGGAGGGGGCGACAAAGGCAACATATTTTATCACGGTCAGCGGGAGCGGGATTGTCGTTTTACCCAAAAGATTATAATAGGCTATATTCCCATTAATAAACAAGCATTTTGATCTTAAAACAAGGAGAACTGTATTAGACAGGATTAGTCCGATCAGTTTGACTGGGGTTTGTATTTTTTTAAACAATACTCTGTGAACCAAACCAGTGCGATGTGAAAGACATGAGAGGCTGCACCATTAACGACTGTAAATTTGTCACTACAAACGGTGATAAAACAAAGTCTCTTTTTACTTATGGTATATGAAGCCAAGCTGTTAAACGCAAGATAAGTCGAGCGCTTCTCAGTTGCTATGACGATAGCCTATAATGTAAGCGAATGCTAAGGGGCGGGGCAACAATACTTAGTCGACAGCCCCCTTACCCAATTAGATTCTTAGGTTTTATATTGACAGTCATTTCAACCAATACAGCCGCTCGTTTGAATTCCGGTACAGCCAATCTCGAAGCTAAAAATTGCACGTAAACCTACAATGAAATCAAGGTAGAAGAAGGCGCAGATATTTCGGGCGAATATTGGTGTGACGGAAGGGCTGCCTGCAGGTTTGTTCAATATTTTGAGTCGTATTCTACACAGGCACCTCCTTTTAGAACTGTACAGTTATTTCTGGGAGTAATAAATAACAGAAGCGTCGAACGTTAATTAGACTGTTATATGCGTCGCCGTGCTGTAAATTAGCCAGTTAGCTTGCTAAGGTAAGCAATTCTCAAAATGGAGTTTCCTACTGATCACACGCAAGTCACCAGATAGTCATTTCCCTATTATCTAACCAAAGCAGAATCTTGCACACCGACGCAAACTGTTATACTAATAAGTATACTAAATGGACTAACCAAACCCTGTGTTATCATTTTGCTCGCAATAAGAGTGAATCTAGAAAACAAGCCATTTTGTGCCCATACATCGCAGGTGCAGAAAGATTTCGTTTATATAAATTTTTTGGACTGGTGTTCTTGTTATAGTACGCAATATTGTTATGTATTTCCTTCGTGAAGTTCAGTAAATGCAGCTGTGTTGTTAGTTAATGAAGGCTTGTACTGTTAATGCAACTGTAACTGTAAGGCTAGCAGGCTAAATGCTACCAGTTACTTGCGCACCATTTTGAAACACTGGGCCTTAACACAGCCCTAAACTAAGTGCTTCTAATATGTAACCAGTGTGAATATTTCGATATCGTTAGTTCTCATTTAATAATTAAAATACTGACAACTGTGTTTTTGCGGGTAAAATAAATGCACTTTGCATTTGAATGCTTTTGTAATTGTTGAAATATATTGATTTAGAATGTTTTTTTTTATATATATATTGCGTTCTTTTATTGTACATCCTGTTTTTGTTCGTATTTTGAATTTGCTTTTAAAGTAACCGCACGCTTAACTTATCAAAAAATAAATATCATCGTAAATTAGCATTTTCTTTTAAGTACAACGGAAATACCGTAGTGCATGAAAATGGTCATATTTGGTATCATAGTATTGTCTTATAATAATATCACTGTAACATGGTACAGACACAGACTTGTTTGACTCTTTAATATGACGTTTCAGAGTGAACAAGATAAAAAAAAAATGTAGGATGGAACCTGATTTTATTCATCTGGAAATTATTGGATTGTGAAAAGTTGTCACTGTATCATTGGTTTTCAGCTGGAGTGTTGCTGGTCTGTTCTGGTAAATAATGATGCCATAAACAAATTATAGATTGATCTAATCATGTGTAGTTTGGTTGGAAGAATAAACAGACTTACCGTCTTACAGTAGATATAGATAAGGAAACACTTCCTTTATTTTGTGGTGTTATGATGTCAAAGGCCATTGGTTCAATCAAACTCTCCAGTATTCTAGCACATTCATCTCACTTGGTAATATGGCTAATAATAATATAAAGTTTTGCCTTGGTATCTTTTCTGCATCTACATGATGTTAATAATTTTGCTTATTGTTGTAGTTCTTCGTAAATGCAATATGTGTCAGTCCTTGATTTTAAGGATTTGTTTATGTTTTGTACAATTCTTATACTGTGTTGGGTCACCACCTGAATCAAAACCAATTGAGAATCACTGACAGGTGTTTGGAGGTGTTGAGAAATGAGGCCTTGTTTACATCTGCTAAAAGTCGATTCTGATATAGAACAAGCTATTACATTTTGATGAACATTTATGAAATTATTTCTTTGGAATAACAAACTTTCTACATTAAGACCAGGAAAGTGTATTCATTAAGTATAATTTTGATTTCATGTTGACATTAAAAATGGTGTAGTTTCTGCATTGTTTTAACACTTAAAATGATATGTCTCTTAGAGTTACCCATCGAGGACAGCCTATTCCAGTTTCACCGCTGGCTGAAGACAATGGAGACAGAAATTGAGCAGCAGGAAGAAGACACCACTTTCAGTAACACTGACACTAACGGTAACCAATAGAGTTCAACTGTGTCTGTCCACTTTTTCTGTGATCTTGGGTTTGAAAGTAGTTCCCATTAATTTTTTACTAGGGATGTAACGATTAACCGCAAGCCGGTTTATGCAGCATCTTTGTTTGGATCATGATTAAAATGCAGTTGTTGCCTCTAATTTTAAATGGAAAGAACACAGACAAAGCCTTATTTTGTTTATATGAAGAGATTTATTTTATTTGTGTTTCTTATTTATTTGATTTGGGGCTTGTTTTAAAATTTCAATGTAGTTTTGTTATTTACATATACATTATATTTAAATTTAGTCATTTAGCAGACGCTTTTGTCCAAAGCGACTAACTAATGAGGACAATAGAAGCAATCAAAACCAACAAAAGAGCAATAATTTACAAGTGCTATATTAGTATATTATTATAGTGTTATATTTCAATTTCACAAAGAAATGTGCAGCATTTTGTCCAAGCAATAATAAAAGGACACATTTAATTTATAATTTGTCTTAAATCTCATTTTGTAAAAAAATTATAACCGTGAATCGAATCGAATCGTGAAATCAAAACCGTGAATCGAATCGAATCGTGAGTTGAGTGAATCGTTACATCCCTAATTTTTACATGGGGATTTTTTTTTTTACGTCTTTGTTAAAGAGTTATAAATAAAGGCTAAACGGCAACAGACATGTTCTGATGCATTCTGATGGCCTAATAGCTTAAGCTTTCAGCTCGACATATATTCCCTCCAGTAATGTATGTTTATATGAATGATTGTGTTAAATTAGGAAAAAATCCAAAATAGAAGCATTTTCCCGAGTGGTTGCCTTATACACTACCATATATGTATAAATTTGGATTTTAACATAATATGGTAGAAAGATGGTTATTTTTTAAACTGCTTTCTGTAAGTCCTCAAATTTAATGAGAACTTCAGTCACTAGTGCTTGGTTATGTTTTGGGTTCCGTAATGGCATTCTCTCAGAACGAGCAGTTTGATAAACAGGAATGTCTTAATTGTTGTTGAGGCTCATGTGCCAGATTTGTGTTCCCTCAGGCAAGCGCCCTGCTGAGGATATGGATGAGGAACAGGCATTCAAACGCTCCCGCAACACAGATGAAATGGTAGAGCTCAGGGTGCTGCTCCAAAGCAAAGTGAGTGAAGCCATACAAATGCACTTTTCATCTCCATTTCTTTGATATAGATTACATTTTTAGAAGTGTCATTTTATGTTTTCAGAATGCAGGGGCTGTGATTGGAAAGGGAGGCAAGAACATTAAAGCCTTACGCACAGATGTGAGTATTAAGACCATGCTCCATGCTTATTATGATCCTTTAAGCAAAGTTCTCTAATGGTCTAGTTTTAACGAGACTTCTGACAGCATTTTCAAATCCAACAGTTGTTTTCGTGAGCATTTCAGCTTTGTCAGCAAAAACACGAATCAGTCGGATTTGAAATCACACAAATCAAAACTCATGACACCAATCCGTCCATTACAGTCCTGTTAAAATCCTGCAAAGATTTTTCTGCATTTGATCTTGAGGGCAGATCTTCCGTTTTGTAGCTATAGGTTGGCTCATTTGGACAGACAAGCTCTCTGAAATGAGGCTATTTTGTGAGTCTTTGACATTGTGTATTAAAGGGGAAGCACTTCTCGACTTTGTTCTTGAAGGCATTCTCTTTCACTCTCCCCCACTTTGAAAACCCAATTACGGATGTCTTGACTCTTGAGCTGACCCATAGTCCTGTGTGAAGCACTGTTGCCCAGTGGTTCTACATTAAAAACTGTCTTCAGATCTGTT